CCTGCATTCATTTTTAAGGACAAATTTAAGGGCAGAGGTCCTAGGCACACAATCAGCTCAAAGATTGGTTTAAGATATCATTATTCTCTCCTGGGCTTCTCTGACCCATGATACTTAGGTAATCAATATTTATTCTGGGTTGGGGCAATTATCAATGTGGAACGTTCATAGGAAAAGAAGTAAGTCAATGGTTAATGAAGAGGGCCCAAAATAAGCTTTACCTAAGAAAATTAATCCCCTCCACCCCAAGATAAGCATTACAACACAAGAAACAAACACCACTTGCAGATAAGAAAATGTTTCTGTCCTACTATATTCTGGTGCCAACACAGGAAATCACCTTTAGCTGATAAGCATCCTGAACTATTATGAAATGACCACCCTGGGCCAGCAGGTAGCATAGTGGTTAAGGCGCTAGACTCACACATGACTGACCACAGTTCCAGTCCTAGATCCAGAGGCTTGAAACATGGCAGGTAAGTGTGCGTACATGCCCAAAATCCCAAGAGGAGAATAGAGGAGAAGAGAAGAGATTGAGTCATGGCCATCTCCCTGTGGGGATATAATTTCTCACTTTCTGTCTCTTTGGTGAGTGCACACACCCTATAGCAAAGAAGAAAGAGAAAGGAAGGAAGGAAGGAAGGAAGGAAGGAAGGAAGGAAGGAAGGAAGGAAGGAAGGAAGGAAGGAAGAAAGAAAGAAAGAAAGAAAGAAAGAAAGAAAGAAAGAAAGAAAGAAAGAAAGAAAGAAAGAAAGAAAGAAAGAAAGAAGAAAAAGAAAAGAAGAGAAATGACCACCCCCATCTCTCATTCCTTCATATGGTAAGAGTTTCCTTACCCTCTTCCTATGATCAAGACTATAAAAAGAGACCCTCCCTGGCATGAGGTATGAACCTGCACAGGTCTTGCCCCAGGTACTCTTACCCAGCCCTAGAAAGTCCAACTTCTGTTTATATTCTTGTTTCTGATCAATTATTTTACCACCCATGCTGCAGTCCACAGCAATCAGATTTCTCATGCCATTCAGTTTGGGGTCTATGTGTTCATTGCCAGCAGTTTCCATCCTGCAAAACATCCTAAGAATTTATGTTGAAACCTTATCTTCCTTAATGTGAGAGTTTTAGGAATCTGTTTTTTTATTGTTTTTATTTATTTATTTTATATTCATTCACTGTGTATCATTACAGCATAAAAAATGAATTTTCTTGTCCAGAATACACTATATATTGGCTCAATCCAAAATATTACCATACATGTTATCTTCAACGGATAATTTTACATTTTGTGTTTCTTAAATATCTTACTTCTTTCTTTTTTTCCCCTAGATTCCTTCCCTCTCACCTTCCACTGTTTCCCACCCTCATTGCACACTGTTTCTTGTATCCACAGTTGCTCTCCAGGCTTCTACACTGCCAATATTTCAGTTTCTGTGATAGAGTGCAGATATTCAGTATATATTAAGTGGGTAAAGGCAATGCCTCTCTTTTATAGTCTGGCTTGCAGGGGGAATGGCCCACCGCAATCCCTTTTCCTCCATTCTCCTCTTGGGATCTTGGGCAAGCACGCACACTCGCCCGGCATGACTTTAAGCCGCCAGGTCCAGGACGCGAACCGCGGTCAACTACATGGGAGTCCAGCGACATAGCCATTACACTAACTGCTGGTCCCTATGTTTTTCTTTATATTGAAGTCTTTGTGTTTTTCCTCTATGGCCTGGTTTATGTACAATATATACCCCTTTTATATGTCTCTAAGGGACCAGCAGGTGGCTTGATGGTTAAGGCACTGGACTCCCACATGCCCAATAGCAGTTCAAGTCCTAGACCTCCTGGGACCTGCTCAGCAGAACGTGAATTCTGAATGAGAGGTTGTGGATTAGAACTAAATGTAATAATTAACACACAAAGACGTATAAATATAGAAAAGAAAGAATCGGGTGGGCCCAACCTCTCAGATGAAGAAAGCTGTGCCCAGGGATCAGCCTTGGGATTATTCATTTAAAGGGAAGTAAATAGGAAAAGAGGAAGAAGATGTGAAAACGACTGGTTCCATGTAATTTCTCTGATCTTTTTAGGGCAAAATCTGAAAAAAACATGTGGTTTCCTTTAGCCTGAAACTGCTCTGCAATATCAGTATCAATATCAATAACAGGCAAACAGTGTTTTTTGTATGCAAATGCCTTCATAGCCATGCAAATGAAGCTCATGGAAGCATATTTTCACATGTCATCTAAAGATCGCCATGTTTGCTCAGATTGGCCACTTTCCACATATCCCCCTTTTTCTTTTTCTAATTTGAGTCTGTGGAGCTAGATGGTTGTTGCATGGAGCTCTTGCCCCAGGCGATGCTGCAGACTAGCAGGAAAATGAACATAAGCAAGATATTGACACAATTCCCAAGAAATACCATAATGAGTGAAGAAGCATGTTAAAAGGATTAGTGTCTTAACAAAGTGATTTTGAAACCGCTTCTCTCTACCCTCCTGGATCTTGATAGCTTCTTCTGCAGAGTCCTGGTGCAGGAGTTGGATTTACTGCTGCCACAGGCATACCTGAGCCAGTCCCTGTCCCTTGATCCCTGGAGTGGCCTGGCTTCCCTGCGAGTGTGAGTGAGATCTGCTCAGAGTGCGTGTGAGAAAAGAAGGAAATGCCTAAATAAAAAGACTGGTGCAAAGAAGAAGGCTGAGAACCACCAAGAACGTGAGAAACAGCTAAGAGCATCAAGAAGCACTATAGATTTAGCCAAACATCCATGTAATGCCTCAACGGAATGTGACAAGGGTCAGAGGTGGCAGAAGAATAGAGAATTTTGCCATTTTTGTAATTCTGTACAGAAGTTATCAATTTGTGAACACTGTGGGAAAACAAAGTGTATGATGAAGTCTTCTGACTGTGTCATAAAGCATGCTGGTGTCTACAGTACTGGCCTTGCAGTAGTGGGTGCAATATGTGACTTCTGTGAGCTTGGGTTTGCTATGATAGGAAATAGCTCAGTACGCAGTGACTTGAAACACACCAGGTTCATGTGTGTGCTTGCCCAAAATCCCAGGAGAAAGGAAGATAAGGGATTGCAATGTGGCCATTCTCCCTGGGGGAGGGGGTGATTTGTCACTTTCTGTCTCTTTGTCTCTGCCTGTCTCTCTAACAAGTTCATGCGCCTTATAGCAAAAATCTCTCCCCCCACCAAAAATGAATTTATGTCTCCCTGCTAATAATTATGATAAAATTAATACATATATACACCAAATCCAGGACAAATTTAATAAAGTTCACTTTAGTGTCTCATGGAATTGAGAGTAGCCAAACTAACTTTCAGCCCTTTTGAGACTTGCAATAATTTTGCTTACTTGCCTTATTGGACCTTGTATACTGAATCTTTTAATTAAATTTGTTTCTTATAACCTAGATGCTCTAAGATTTCAGATGTCTCTTCAATTTTGTAACAGATTTAACAGATTAAATCTAGCCTTCAACCTCTGTCTTTCACTTCCCTCATGGTGAGTCTTACAAGGCTTAACCTTTTGGGGGGCCAGCAGGTGGCATGGTGTTTAGGGGCTCTGGACTCCCACATGGCTGTGGCTGACTGCACTTTGAGTCCTGGATCTGGTGACTTTCTCTCTCTCTCTCTCTCTGTCTCTCTCTCTCTCGCTTTCTCACTCTCACTCTCACTCTCTCCTGCTCTGTCCCTCTCTGATCAAATTAAAATAAGTAAATGGATAAAGTTTAAATAAAATAATTCTTTAAAAAAAGTTTTTTTAATAATTTATTTAATTTTATTTATTTTATTATCACTATTTATAATTTGCTACAGGGCACATGTGCTCATCAGAGAGAGAGGGAAAGCGAGAAAGCAAGCTGCCAGGTCCAGGACTCAAACGGCAATTGGCCATCTGGGAGTCTAGTGCCCCAACCACCAGGCCATCCACTGGCCCTACAAAAACTAACCTTTTACCTTCCTCAGAATAGATGGAATCTAATGTGTAACTTATGAAAGTTAGCCAAAATCTGGCTGATCTTGGGCTAATGGAGACAGGGAAGGGGAAGATGCCACCACACCCCTCCCATATGACAGCAAACAACATTTTATCAGGTGAAGCATTATAAAGCCACGTCTAGCTTCTAAACCAGAATCTAAGAGTTGTCTTGACTGAATCCATTTACTTCTGCTGCCTTGGTAATCATGGCTTACCTTTAAGCCCCTTGCAGATCAAGGGTCATTTCATGTTTTTCCGCATGCCCACAAGGAAAACTGCCCTCAAGCCATGATTGTACCCTGAAACTATCGTATGTCTGATAATGCTGAATGACCAGGCCTTTATCTCTCTCTCACTTCTGCCCCAAACAGAATAATTTTCTCTTCATTTCTTCCCCTGTATATATTTTTATATCTTTTAGGTACAGTAGAGACAGTTGCAGACTCCAATCTTCTGTCTCCCTGATTCACTCTCTCCCAAGTGTTGACCTCACTGAATAAACCCCTTTCTTTATTCACTAAGCTTTGTCTCTTGTAATGGAAAGTACAAATTTGATTTTGAGCAACCCGAATGATCATCCCTTTCCATTCTAGCACCAGTAGCACTTATACAAATAGAATTCAAAGCAAAGTTAAAACCATTTTGTATCTGGCAATGTTTTTCATAGAATTTTAATATATTGGGTAAGTCGTATTTGTCTCTCTTAAACATCCAGGGACCTTTAATAAATAGTATGCTGTCAAGACTTCCCAAGGAACTTGAAACTTGACTTGGAAAATCTGTCGAAATATCAAAGATTTCAAACACTTGATCAAAATAGGATCATAGGTCCCTTTGTTTAATCAAAGTAACAAAAGACATTTCAAAGATAGCTGGCAAAACCAACAAAATAAACGTCACTTTTCAGAGAGAAGGCTCAATCTTCCCAACCATAGTAGTTAACTGGCCTGATTGAGACAGCAGAAGGCACATAGAATTTGTTCTCCCCCTTTCCTCTCTTTTTACACTCAAAAAGGTTGATCAAAAAAATTCTCTACTATTTTTATTAATATCATATGAAAACATTATTTAAGACACAAAAACAAACTTTAGTGTTAGATCATTGCATCTTTGAATGAATTTAGTCAACTTTAGTTAAACTCCACAAGATTTTTCATTTCCTTCCTTTTTTCAACTTCCTATGTCTTTTACTTTCCTCTGTAACAATCCTTTTCATTCATTTACTTGGAAATAATCTTCAAACACCCTCTATACAAAATTACTCTTTTGAACAAAACACACTTTTTTTTTTAATTTCCTAGTCACCAAAAACATGTCTTACTTCTCCTGTACACTTGGATACAGAATCCTTTTGTGATAGGCAGGTAGCTAATAATAAGCAGACAGCCCTGCAAAAGTAAAAGGACACATGCCACATCTTTCACAATTTATCAGGAGTTACAACTAAACCCTCCATGAAAATGTCTTCTTCCCAGTTAACCCTGGTGCCAGGAAGGTGAAACAAATCCCATTTTTCTTCTTTGGTACCTAAAAAAGACACATAGAGATCATTACAAATTTCCCTCTTATCATTCCTCACAAACGCAGAAAGACCCAGTCATTATTACCTAACATCCTGATTCCTACTGGGGCAATAAACTGAATTAGACAGTTCATCCTAACTAGGATGCTCTTATCATCCTGGCTCACACTGGGCATGCACAGTTAGGATTCTCAAATTCTTCACCTGTGAGAGAGATGCCCAAGCACAAGAAAAAGCCCACGAACGCAAACAAAAACCAGAGATAGTATAACAGATCTCCCACTGTTAAGTATTCATTATCTCCTTTAGTAATAAAAATAACACCTGAACCACTTCCAGACACACTACGACCTAACAAGCTGCCTGTCCTAAAGTCTTTTGGGTGTACTTCTTTTCTAAAATCTTTCTTTCCTATTAAATTCTCTTGTCTACCTATTTGCATTGTGGTGTGGCTTTATTTTGTGCCTAGGAACAAGTCTGTAATTTAAGTAATCTAAACACAAAAGACAAAAATTTTACACAAAACAGCTGACTCCTATTTGCTAAAAGTGGCTTGCAAACAGAAAGTGTTTCTGTTCCCTCTTTGTGAACTGCCTGAGAAGGAAATGTTACAAGCTGGAATGCAATTGTTTTGCAACTGTTTTGTACTTTTCTTGTTTCCTCTGCAACATCGTGACCCAGCATTGTAACTTCCACAGGGCGGGCCCAGACTTTGGCATTATAATCTGAATTTTTCTACTCTCTGAGTGGTGCTTGGTTTCTTGGTGGTCTGTTTTCTGTAACAATCCAAAATACATTTAGCTTCTTTAAACCATATAAAAACAAGATGCCAAAGCATGCAGCTTTAAACTTGTATTTAGTAATTAATATTGAAACCGAGCAAGAACCCCCCTATGTATTTTCTAGGGTTCCTAAAATATAAAGTCGATTTGCATTGTAATGGCTCAGAGTAAGGAGTAAGTCTTCAGACTTTGGTTATGATAATGACCAACACAGACTCTGAGTGAGGGCCATTTGACCTCTAAAACTCTCATTTAAAGGAAAGAAGGTTTTCATTTCAATGTGTAAGATGTTTTGTAGACTGGAAACTGCTGGTTGTGAGCTCAGAGACTCCAGGCTGAAAGATTCCAGACACCTGAAGAGGAATTTGATTATCTAAGACCTCACCAATCAAGAATGCCCACAAGATGATCACGCCCTCTTGAACCAATCACTGAACTGATCATGTGCCTGGGACCTCTGCCCCTAATTTTGCCCTTAAAAACGCTTGTGGGGAACATCTCGGGGAGACCGGGTCTTTTCAGCATGAGCTGCCCGCTCTCCTTGCTTTGTGGTTTGCAATAAAGCTGTACTTTCCTTCATCACACCGTGTGCCTATGGCTTGGTTTTATAGCGCTTGGGCGAGCAAACCTGATTTGAGTTCGGTAACAATATTTCAACACTTAGAAATGACTCAAGCATTTTATTAATATTGTTGTGGTGTGAGATATTATGAAGATTGAGACCACCTAGAAATTAAAGTTTCAGGAGCCTTTATTCCTGGCCAGAGATCATGGCCATGGGCTGCTGCCCCTGACC